AACAGAAAGAGTGAAGAGGACAGCAGCTGCTGCCACTTGAGGGAGGAGCAAGCAACACAAAAGCCCTTTCACCAGCAAATTTCTTAACTCCTTACCCAGCCTCCCACCAGTATCTACTTAAGTTGCTGCTGCCAGGAATGCTAGACCAGCTCCAGGAGAGGCGCTGGATGCCACTGCACACAGCAGGCCAGACCCCGAACAGATGCGCAGCTCTCGGCCTTCTTACCAACTAGTGAGCCAGGACACTTGGGCCGTCGGTATTCTCCACATTCTACTTCTTGTCATGACAGAACAAGCAACAGAGCAAATGTGGGTCCCAGGGTATAGTCAGAATTTAATTAAATTGTATTTTAATTAAAGTGAGGAAAAGATTTTTTAAACTTGAATGAATCACTAAAATAATTAAAATATTCACAGTTCCACCAAAGCAGACAGAAGCCCCTGAAACATTTTTCCCGTCACTGAGGCCAACAGCAAGGTTAGCCTGGGCTGGCATTCCCGTGCACTACACGGGCACACTCACCCAGTGTGCCACCAACCAGGGAAGGCAGGAGTTGACCCCCGGGTGGCTGACACAGGAGTGGTGCACCAACACTTCCCCGTAAGGAGAATTGGTAATTTTCTCTTGAGAAAAATGCAGTCCTCCTTTTCCTTCCCTTATTTTCATACAAGGTGACTTATCTTGTTGCAATGACTATACTTCCCTATTAATTCATTCCTTGTCTTTTCATCAAGATGTATATTTCAATCCTGAAACCAGGTCTGGGATTCTAAACGTAACATAGCACTAGTAAGTTTGGACATCTGTTCTTATCTTAATGAAACACATGATCTCCCCAAATAAGTAGAGTCAGAAGGGGGAAACACTCTTTCTTACTCGGTTGCAAAAAGTGAACCAAATCACTCTGGAGTGAAGATGAAACGTACCTAAGGGCATCCCATTACAATACATACGTCAGGGGAACAGACCTCAACAAAATTCTGCCTCAATGCAAGTTTCTATTAACAAAAAAAATCTTTCGGCTAAGCATTTTTCTAGACATTACCTTACTTTTAAAAATTAACAAAAAGCTGCAATAGTTTACTCGTATTCAAGTAATAATTAACTTGATGGGTGGTACCCATCAACCAAGAACAGTAAACTGAGTTTATTATGCAAATCCACAGAAGGGATGCTCAAGATTCTATTTTGCTTACTAAGTTGTTAAAACTTACAAGGCAACCAAAAACACATCTCAAGTAAGAATGGGGTAAATGCTGAGAGAAATATGTCAGACAAACCAAAACCTACGTGTGAAACTACACATGCTTCAAAGATATTTACTCCACTAAACATTTTTGTTAAATCTACTTTATAATCCTCACCGTAGTCCATAAGGAGCAAAAATTTAAGGGGGAGAATCTTAATTAGAGCTCTGGAGACTGGCTCTCTAACAAGACCGACTTTCCAAATAATTTTTCACACAACACTCTACCCTCTCAAACCTCAAATGGAAGAGTAATCATGTGGGCACGGATTTGTCAGAACAGTTCACTAATAATTTACCCAGAGGCCTCTCCAGGAAAAGTGTATGATACAGCAAGCGATTAGCAGATGAGTCAATGACTGCCACCCCCACACTGCAATTACACTGTATCTCTCTGCAAAGCCATTTGCAAAGTATGTACAAAGTACAGAGCTAACAGGACTATATATTTGGCGACGTATTTTAGGTAGTCCACAGGATTTCTACTTCTAGAAGAAAAAATAACAGAAAGCTACTTTCAGATTTCAACAGAAGAAAAGGAGGGATCTTAAAAAACAGAACTAAATTCAGATTGCTGGGTATGTTCTCTGTTGTATGAAAAGTATATAAATCATACACATATCTGACTATGTTGAAATAGGTATAACACCACAAAAATCTGATTACATTCCGCAATCAAGAATAGAAGTTTAAAGGTAAGTCAAAAGCAAGAAACAAACAGTTAAGCAGACGGGTTGGGCTCTTGGGCTCCAGAGCCTAAACAGTCCCGCACAGGCCCGTATCAATTAGCCGGATATTAAATGCATGGCTGTTAGACCAAGTGAGGGCCGGTGGAAGTGGGCAGTGAGCAGAGAGTGAAGTTCCCAAAAGTGCCGGCTTGCCCAGAGGCAGGCCAACCTTTAGCTTGCACTGTCATCTCCCATCGGGGCCCCACTGGCGTCCTGAACCGCTCAGCTTTTCTTCATCTGAGGGGCCTCTTTCCACACTTCCACCACACCCCAGAAACTAGGTAGACAAACTCCAAAGGAATAATTAGCAAATCAAACTTTAGCATTTCTCCTGCACAAAACACACTGATTTTTCCTAAAGGAATTACAACCACTGTCCTGCCAGGAATCTCTAAAATAACTTGGGCTGATAATTCTGCCAAAAATATAATACACCTCGCAACACATACCAGATCCAATGTGTAAATATTACTATGTCACTTTTATTCAGTTTCAATAAGCACATAAACATAAATCTAATGTATACTACTTATTTTCCTATGTAAAGCAAGGACCACGGAATAAATGACCAAGAAATCTCCAGCTTCTCTCTCTCACCTTTAAATCTCAATATTTACCCAAATACATAAGTTTCTATACACATACCAACCCCACTGCCCATAGTCCCAACCCCTCCCTGGGCCTCCCACTAAATTACCACCGGAGAAGTCTGGCACTGCCCTGCAGCTCCCAAAGCCACCACACATCTATTTCAGGACACCACCTTGTCTGGTTGGTTGTTTCCTTTTTAGAACCCTGGTAATAAAAATATCCCAATTTCTTAAATTTATAGGTGAAAAATACTAGTTTCCAAATGATTCTTTAAAAAGCAACAATAAAAATACTCTTCACTTGAAAGAAAAACCCCAAAAGGCAGTGTTCATGTAATTTAAGTCATGAAGAGAATGTAAATTAAGATGTGGTTCTATTTTCCGTCTCGACTTTAACTTGTTATAGTTCCTTATAGACTTTTGAAAGCCGTTTTGGAAAGAAATAAAAAGCAGGAATGACAGTTCTTAGAAAATGTTACAAAAACACATCATAGTTCCAGCTTCAGCTACCAACTTTTGTGTATTTTTCTACGTTGACACTGTATCTGAAAATTCTAATTTATATCAGACAGTGTGATAAAGGCTTTCTACTCTTCGTATGAATGGTTATCAAATGCTGTTGATTATGCTATTTTTTTCTTGAATTAAAGTAATTATGGGTATTTTAGATGAGTGACATATAATCTGTGGATTTAATATATCAAACACATGCTAGTGGCATATAATCCATTAGAAAAAGAATCCAATGAATTGACAAAGGCACAGCAAAAATACCACATCCTCCAAAATAACTTATTTCTAAGATAACAGTTATATTTTTCACATTCTATGCACTTACTAAATGTGGGCGTAGGCACTGGGGTAGGTGTTAGAAATTTGGGGGCTTTTTGTGCTATAAAGTTTTAATGCAATAAAAAAGGTTCCTTTCAGATTTAGAAAGTAAACGTCGATGAGATTAATAAACTGAGCCCCATCTATTACTGATGAGTGCTGTGATTACCCAGTTTCTTTCTATTTCCACTATCATTCCCAGAGGGTAAGACATTCAAAGCCAAAATTCGTTAATTTAGTAATTTATTCTTTTAATATTTGTTGAATCCCAGGCACTTTTTGCTGGGTGCTGAAGACAGAAAATGCAAGCCTGCTATTGAAGGCTCATACTCCATACAGGAGACTGACACCTCACTACAATCTCCGTGCAGGGAGAAGTAAGGTATTTGCCAAGTGCAAAGCAATGAACACTCTAGCACGAATCAGCTATCCTGGAGGTCCTGGCTTTAGAACTGTAGTCTAGGCGCAAGAATATAATAACAGAGCACTCTACCATTTCCATAAGATATTAAACTAAACACATGCTAAGAACTTTCCTGTGCTTTTTCACTTAATCATCACATATTTTTTTTTTTCTTTTTATTGAGATACAGTCTCGCTCTGTTGCTTGGGCTAGAGTGCCCTGGTGTCAGCCTAGCACACAGCAACCTCAAACTCCTGGGCTCAAGTAATCCTCCTACTTCAGCCTCCCAAACAGCTTGGGACTACAGGTGCTCAACACCATGCCTGGCTAATTATTTCTATTTTTAGTTGCTTGGCTAATTTTTTTTCTACTTTTTTTTTTTTTTTTTAGTAGAGACAGAGTTTCACTCTTGCTCAGGCTGCTATTGAACTCCTGAGCTCAAGCAATCCTCCCACCTGGGCCTCCCAGAGTGCTAAGATTATAGGTGTGAGACACTGCACCCAGCCTATGCTCAGATAAATCTTGCAGTAACTTTGAATGTCCCATAATGTAGATGGAAAAAGTTATAAGAAGCCATTCACTTGTCCAAGATCATAAATTAGCAAATGAAGGAGGCAGGATTCCAAGTCAGGTCTTTTCAGTTCAGCATTTAACTATCCTACACCTGCCTGGCAAACAAAACCTAGAGGAGGTACTAAGTAAAGTAGATCACATTATAGAAGTGTTAGCACGTGATGCTCTCTGTGTAATCCTGCAGGTGTGCAATAACCTCTAAACAGCCAATGGTAATGGTGGTAGTTCTAAGTATGAGTCTACAAATATATTAGCTTGAAAAAACATGTCAGGGCTTCTCAAAGTGAGAACAAAACCACAATGATGCCTCTGATAGATACAGAGGACAAACTCAGAGATCAGTACCATTGGTAACAATTTCAATTTCCCCCTGTTCTTTTACCTATTTTATGCCCACTTAATCATTCAGGCTCCTTTGGTTCCATCTTCATGGTTTACCCTACATAAACACATCTACGTATAGCAACTGGACAAAAAAAATGTATCTATACATGCACTTCCTCATGTGCACACTTCTATATACTGAGCCCTAATAAAGATCAACTGAGAACTATGAAGCAAGGGTCACAGGCCAGACATGAAAAAAATGGAAGGAGGTATCAAACTAGAGCAATAAAAACATATTTACCTGTTTCTTCATCTATCTTGAAAACACCAACACCAGAACCATCTCTAATGGAATATCGGATCTCCCCATCTCTTCCTGTGTCCTCGTCATGGGCTGATACTGCCATGACTGATGATCCGAGAGGGACATCTTCTTTCACTACACCCTTTTCCACAAAGCTGGAAAACACCGGTGGGTGTAAGTTCTCATTCACGTCAATTACCTCAACTTCAACATAGCAAGTAGAAGACAGAGAAATTGGCTTCCCTTTGTCTTTGGCCCTCACAGTGAGATTATACACCTGCTTCTTCTCAAAGTCCAACTGCTGTACAATTCTAATGGCTCCACTAAGCTTATCCACATCGAAGTGTCCTTCTCCATGGTCCATAAGACTGTACCTCACCTGACTAGACTGACCTAAATCAGGGTCATGGGCCTCTAACCACATGATTATGGTTCCTTCTGGAAGATCCTCTCGAACTTTCACACGGTAATTAGGTGGAATAAACTTAGGTGGGTTGTCATTAACATCTTCTAGCGATACTTTCAAAAGTACAGTAGAAAACAACGGGGGCTCTTCTCTGGCTTGGTCCCTGGCTTCAATCTTTAAGTAGTGCACACGGTGTACTTCACGATCCAGAGGGTGTATAATCTTAACAACACCAGTCACACTGTCAATTGAAAATTTATCTGTGTCTGTAAGGATGGAGTATGTCACATGTCCATTGGGCCCTAGATCTTTATCTGTAGCTTCAACCTGGATGATTTCACTATTTATCTCCTTGTCTTCACTCACTTCAACAAAATAGCTCTCCTGTAAAAACTCAGGTGGGTTATCATTGGCATCCAGGACCACAACATCTAGAAGTTGCCAAGTGGCCTTCTGGGGCATTCCAAGGTCATATACAGTAATATTCAGGGTGTATTTGTCTGTTGTCTCACGGTCAAGTGGAGATAAAATTTTTAGCATTCCTGTTTCCATGTCAATCATGAAGCAACTATCCTCATTTCCTCCAGAAATAGCATAGACCAGTTTTCCATTGAAGCCAGTGTCAAGGTCAGTAGCATTCATGAAAATTATACTGGAACCCACAGGATGGTTTTCCTTTACCTCAATACCAGTCGGAAGAGTACTTCTAAACTGTGGTGCATGAGCATTGACAGAGTGAGAATCAAAGAAAATATCCTCAACTTCCCCCTGACTGTGTAATTTATTTGCCTGCAGGAGTTTCTCTGCCAGCATTTTGGCAACACCGGTCTCCTCACATTGCAAGTTGACCAACTTGCGACTGGCAGCCACGGTTATGTTGATATATAATGGTGTGGCAAAGTTTTCTCCATCGGTAGCTGTAATTCTCAGACTGTGAAAAGACACCTTTGAGCCTAAGCCATCCATTAGCGACTGCTTCAGTGACAACACTCCAGAGTTAGGGTTTAAGCTAAACAAATCTAACTCATTTCCAGCTTCAATCTGATATCTCACCAACTGAAGTTCATCAGCATCAATGGCAGAGACAGTAGTTATCTGCTCTCCCACACCTAGATCCCTGGGAATTGTTCCTTCACAATTTATCTTCTCAAACAAGGGTGTGTTGTCATTCAAGTTATTGAGAGTAATTGTAGCGAGGACTTCAACTTCCCGGCGGTAAGGCAAGCCCCAGTCTGATGCTCGAATCCTTAGAGTATAAACCCGTGGCATCAATTCGTAGTCCAAGTTTTCTGAAGTACTCACAGCACCAGTGAAATGGTCAATCACAAATGGCACATGATTTAAATTTGCAATACTGTATGTCACGTACCCATTCTCACCCTCATCGGGGTCTACAGCACTCACGCTCATGACAGTAGTACCAACGGGCACATTCTCATCAAAGGAGGCTTTGTACGCTGTCTGGGAAAATTCAGGGGGATTGCTATTTGCACCTAAGATTTTAACCAAGACCTTGGTAGAGGCTTTTCTGTCACTCGTCGTTACTTCAAGTTCAAAATGGGATGCCTGCTGTCTTTTAATTGGTTCTAAAATGGAAATGAGCCCTGTGTTGTAATTTAAACTGAATTTAGCTTTTCCAGGTGTACTTTTGAAAACATACCTCAAGTGGGAATAACTAGGAATGGCTTTTACCATGACCACAGGTGTGTTGGGAGGAGCAAATTCACTTATTTCAGCTCTGTAAACATCCTTTTCAAACTTGACTGGCCCAGCTTTGAACTGTGGAGAGGTCACATGAATTACTTTTACTGAAGAGAACTGGGGAGGAGTTCCTTTATCCTTAGCCTGTAGTGTCAGATTGTAGCCAAAAGGATGACTGTCCCAATCAATGCCACCAATGGCTTTGACTTTATATTCTTTACTCCCTGGGAAGGACCTCACTGTTCTAAACTGCTGAAGAAGGTCACCTGCCACAATGCTTAAAGAAGCTATTTCCCCATTGGCACCCTGGTCACAGTCATCCACTGTCACAATGGCGTAAGTCGGGTCCTTGTCCAGTTCTGACGGTGATAATGCCACTGCTGTTATCACAGGAGCACACTCATTGGCCTGTTCTACATGGACTGTCAGCTTGGCCATGCTGCTGATACCACTGCTACCGTACAATTTCATTCCACGGTCCACAGCAAGGATTTCCATCTCATAGAGATTGGTCTCTATGTAGTCAAGTTTACCAGTTAAAACTACCACACCACTGGTTGGATGAATAGCAAACATATCTGTTCGGTCTTTAAAACTGTAGTAAAATTCTCCATTGGTTCCTATGTCTGCATCTGTGGCGCTGACTCTTGCAATACTGGTCCTTATGGCCGTGTTCTCGGGTAAAGAAACACTGTACGAGGTGGGTGAGAATAATGGTCTCAAGTCATTTGTATCCAGCACTTGCACCCTGACCTTTGTTCGGGCTTCAGCATTAGTATTTTTTTCAACTGCTTTCACTACCAATGTGTAATGGTCTTTCACCTCTCTATTAAGAATAGCTGTATTTCCTCCTTTGGTCCTTATTCTTAGAAAGCAAAAGTCCCCAAGAATGTACTCTTCAGCTTTGAACAGGTTTTCATTGTCTCCTGAGACAATTTTGTACCTTAATTCCCACAACGGATTGGTGATGTAGATACCCATCTTTACAGGATGCCCAACGTAAGTTTTGGCTGCAGAGTTTTCGTGCACAGTGACATTGTACTGCAAGTGTGTAAACTGTAGAGGAGTCTCTTCAAGTCTTTGGCTTCCATCACCATCTCCAAAATGTTGGAGGAGGAGGAGCAAAAGCAGAAGCAAGGCCAAATGGCTCCCCATTGCTTTACTCTCGGGAACCTGAAACAGAAAAAAAAAAATAAGAAGCATTACTTCTGGAAGATAAAACACGCAAAAAAGTATAAGTTGTTTTAAACCCTTATATTTTAATAGTGTATTTTCCATCTATATGGAGTATGAATAAATGCAATGGTTTCAGATTTCCATCCCCCCCCAATTTTCCAATATAAGTATCAACACTCTCCGAACATGTCTAGCATTACTAAATTTTTTGTTTGTTTTTGTTTTTGAGACAGAGTCTCGTTCTGTTGCCCAGGTTAGAGGACTAAGGCGTCAGCCTAGCCCACAGCGACCTCAAACCTGTGGGCTCAAGGGATCCTCCTACCTCAGCCTCCCAACTAGCTGGGACTACATGCATGTGCCACCACACCCAGCTAATTTTTTCTATTTTTAGTAGAGATGGGGTCTCACTCTTGCTCAGGCTGGTCTTGAACCCCTGAACTCAAGTGATCCTCCCACCTCGGCCTCTCAGAGTGCTAGGATTACAGGCATGAACCACCACACACCCAGCCTTAGTGTTACTAAATTTAACAAAAATATTTTTTTTTGCATATTTGAATGACCCAAATCATAATGAACATCAAATGAAAGATTACTAACTGTAACAACTAAATTGTATTATTATACTTAAATCTTTAAAATAAATACAAGCAAATGTTTAAAAGGTAATGATTATTGTTTACATTTACTACATACAACTAATTAAATGCTCTAAAGCTTGCAATCTTCTTGCTACAACAGTATTGTGAGCATACAAGGCTTTCAACAACTCATTTATGGGGGAAAAAAACCCCAACAGTGGTTTTATATGACCTCCCATAATGGTACCTTATCTCATTTCAAAATTCATCCTGAAATTATATCATTTCTTTATAAGAATGAATGAGCTCACTCCTTATATAAGGGTTTACTGTCTCATTTAGCTCTATATAACTATTTAAAGGTATTAAAATAATTATAGCATCAGTTTGATAATGTTAACATAAAAAAAAAAGGCAGCTTACAAAAACACCCTAGAATTCAGCAGCTTGATGTTAAACAGAGATTTTACTCCCCAAGTCAGTGGAGTAAATCTCCCCAACTACATCTATGTTTTATCACCACGGCTGTCAACAACCAGTTGTCAGGAGTGTCTACTATCTTCAGGGCACTGAACAACCTGTTATCCAGGGGCCCTCCATCAGAAGGCAAGGCACACACACAAAAGCTAAATCATCTAAGCCAGGGGTCCTCAAACTTTTTAAACAGGGGGCCAGTTCACTGTCCCTCAGACCGTTGGAGGGCCGGACTATAGTTTAAAAAAAACTATGAACAAATTCCTATGCACACTGCACATATCTTATTTCGAAGTAAAAAAAAACAAACGGGCAAAAACACCCGCATGTGGCCCGAGGGCCGTAGTTTGAGGATGCCTGATCTAAGCTAACACACTCACAGGCTCGAATCAATGGGGTAAGGGGCAGACCCTGCAGGGGAGTTAGAAGGTAACTTGGGAAGGAAAGAGGAAAATTAAAGAAATGAAGAAAGGGGTGCTTTCACAAATGAGAAGCTGGGCGAAGTCCACTGGGTAGAGGTCTGGCCAGGACAGTTATTTTCAGATCAACTGTTCCCTTATGCCAACAAATTCATCCTGTAAATCAGTATAGCTTCAGAAATCCCCCAGCACTGTCAGTAAGGGACAGCAATGTCAGCAAGGGACAGCACTGTAATCTTGCAAAGTATTTCTCAAATTAATATTCACAGAATGTGATTGCTACCAGAGGTGAAAAGAACAGCAGACTGGAGGGCTGGTTGGACAGCCCAATTGAAATTAGTATGGCGACATCAATTTACAGAATCTTAGCTACCGCCAACTTTGCCCCATCAGTCATTTCCTTAGGGGGGAAAATAAAAGACCTGATATACTTTAAGCAATTAGAAACTTAATTGATGTTGAATCATGTTCAAGTTGAGCACCCTAACTTGTTTTTAGCTATCATGCCTTCAACTCTGCAGATAAAGCCAGGAGATTAGACAGATTTTTGGCCTCTAGGAGAATAATTATCATTTAACCAAAATAAGGAAAGAATATTCTCCCCCAAACTATCTCTTTAAATATCTCAATGTGGTCAACAGTTCTAATACTCAGGGAAATTTGAATAGGATGAAATGATCTAGTAATTTTATCAAAACAAGAGAAAAGTTCAATATAATTCAACCTAGTAGGTACTGAGGACCTGCTATCAGACAGCACCTTGACTGGAGTTAAAGACTATAAAAGACAAAGATCTCAATCCCAATGCACTTATAAACTAGAAATAAAACTAACATACAAAAAAATGTTTTGAAGAACAACTAAAAAGATGTTCAACAAGCACTGTCTTCTGTTTTAGGAGATATATTATGGCTTAGGAAACATTATTATTGTTAACCCACTTTACAATAAAGGATTATACCAGGATTATATTGCAAGCACTTAAAAGTATTTTTGCTTAATTCTAAATATAAGATATTATGCAGACATTAAAAAGAATAATGTAATGCTCTACATGGATATATAAAGATGTTCAGATATATTAACCGGAAAAACTAAGCTGATCCCATTTATGTTTGTTTTAAAAAGGAGAGAAGGGGTGGATAAACCATCATCTTCATTATTTAATTTCTTCAGCAAATATTTAATGAGCACCTACTACGTACCAGGTGCAGTTCTAGATGCTAGTGGTTCCAAAGTGAACCAAACTGCCAACAAGTCCTGATGGGAGGACACATTTCCTGGTGAGAGACAAACAAGTACACAGAGTACATCAGATGCTGATGATTAAGTGCTAATGATAAAAAAACAGAAGCACAAGAGAGACTGTGGACAGGAACCTGAAGGAGAGAGGACCCTAATTCAAAAGTGCTGAGGTTTCTCACTTCGGCACTACTGACATTTTGGGTGGATAACTCTCAGATTCTCTGGGACACTGTACGATATTCAGCATTATTCCTGGTCTGCACCCATTAAAAGCCTGTAGCATTCCCCATCCTCCCCAACTGTGACAACTAAAAATGTCTTCACACATTGCCAACTGTGCTCCAGGGCTCCCCCCAGAAGAGAAACACCAGGTTAGAGAAACAAGAAAGAGACCCTGTGGCTGAAGCACAGTAGAGAGGACAGAACACATCATGAAGGGAGTTCTTTTTTATAAAATAATTTTTAAAAAAATTCTACAATGCTTTTAGATTTGCAGAGAAGCCGCAAAGACAGTCTTGCCCATGGTTAACATCTCACATAAGTATGGTGTATTTGTCACGCCTAATGAACCAATATTGATACATCATTATTAACTAAACTTCATACTTTACTCAGCTCCCCTTAGATTTTACCTAAGATTGTTTTTCTGTCTCAGGATCATCCAAGGCACACATTTCATTTGGTTGTCATGTCTCCTTAGGCTCATTCAGAAGGTAAGTTTCTCAGACTTTCCTTGTTTTTAATGACCTTGACAGTTCTGAGAAGTACTAGTCAGGTATTTTGTAGAATGCCTTTCAGGCAAAATGTTCCTCATTTGGAATTTGATGTTTTTCTTAGGATTAGGCTGGGGCTGTGTTTGGGGGAGGAATACCACAGAGATGAAGTGTCATTTTCATCACATGACTTATCTATGTTGATATGGACCTTGTTCTCAGGATGGAGACAGGGTCTGACAGGTCTCTCCACAGCAATGTTGCTTCTCTTCCCTGCCCTTCACCCCCTTTCCGTACTCTCTGCACGGAAGTCACTACATGCAGCCCACACTTAAGGGGTAGAGAGTTATGCTACCCAAATCATTTAAATTTTTCCATAATGTTGATTTGTCTATTCTCCCCCATTTATATATGTATCCAATCATTTTTTTTAAAGATCAGTATGGACTCATAAATGCAGGCTGATTTTGAGACTTTGGAGTTTACTACAAACCAATGAGAAACCACTAGAGGATTTTGAAGAGGAATGACACGATTTAACCTGGAGTGAAAAAGGGTCACTGATATCTGGTGTTGAGAAATGCAAGAGTAAAAGCTGGAGGGAGACCTGACCAGTTAGAGGCTACTGTAAAATAGTACAGGAGAGACAGTGGATTGGCCTAAAGATGGAAATGGTAGAGGTGGGAGAAGTGGTCAAACTCTGCATCTATTTCAGCCATTTGCTGATGCATTGGAAGGGCAACAGGGAGGGAAAGAGAGAGCAGAATCGAAGAAGGGGTTCCAAGCAAAGAGAACAAGTGGCTAGGGACTGAGAGGGAAGACTGAGAGAGGAATATAGGTTTTTAGGAGTCAGATCAGCAGTTCAGTTTTAACAAGATAAACTGGAAATGCCCATTGGTTACCCAAGGAAAGCTTTTGAGTGGGCAGTCAGATGTGCAAGAGAGGTCCAGCCTGGAGATACAAATTTGAGAGCTGTCAGAACATGCAACACGCTATTAAAAATCACGAAACTGAATGAGATCATCAAGGAAGCAAGCACAGAGAAGAAAAGAAAACCAAGAACACTGTTGCTCCCTAAGACCTGAAATGAAGGGCAGAAGTGGAGGAGGAACTGACAAAGGAGACAGAGTAGCCAGTAAAGTAGGTAAGGGAACCATGAGTGGTACCATATGAAAAAATGAGTAAATCAATCTTTTGTGCGTGTAGGCCTAACATTAGAACTTAGAAATGACCCATGAATTCTGGCTGGCACCATGCTGCTCTCATCATCACTGATGAAAGGCACCTGCCATAACCCCTGGGGGCTAAGGAAAATGCCCAACATATCAAAGCGCTATGGCTGTCCTCTCCCCATACCTTCCCAGCCACTCAGTCTGACCACAGGCCCTGCCACAACCCACCAGAGTTCTCACAGGACACAGCACAGCTGGAATAAACTTTCTGGACCACATTTATAACAGAAACCTATTACAACCCTGAATTTACTCTGCAAACTTGACTAACAGAATGCCAATGTAACTAGAATAAATCATTAAATGCAATTATCTTGATCAGGAAAAAAGTATATT